AACCAATAATCGATATTTATTAGTTATTACTGATAAATAAACTTATTTCGAGAAAAATCAAAGGATAATCGCTAATACAGTCATAATAATAATAATAATACAATCTTGAATCTACACGGGTTGGTCGTCCATCTTAGGGGCCCCATTATAATACCACAGACTGCCCAGCGCCTCAAAAAGGTTAAAGACGCCCATGATTAATATCGTGGAATAATCTGTTGTTCCATGGAAATATCATCGTAATAATAATATTATTATTATCGTGGTGGAGGTCACAAACCGATAACAGCGAAAGGCAATTATTACGTGTGCGTGTGTGAGTCATATAATTCGATAGTAAATACTACGTAGTAGGTACCAAAGAACAAAGTAGTACCTACCGTAGTAGTAGAAGTGTAGTAATTTAAATTATTATTATTATTATTTTTATTTTTTCTCGACTGGATGGTCTGATCGTCAGCAAGTGGTACGTCTTCTATCGGGCAAGACGCGATTTTATGACGTCGCGTAGGTCATCCGTTGAACAATGCGCACGACGTCCGTCTGTAAATGTCACTGATGTTACGTAATGCCTTCCTTTGTTCGGTTAACATTGTCGTACAACARGTAACACTATCATACTATTAAATAGTCAATATATATTGTCGTTGTTTTCGTATCGTCCGAATATCGAGAAGTCCGCACCGCTGCTGAACGAGGTAAACAACAATAATATTATCATCACCAAAATTAGGCTACTCATCTGTTCCGGCAGTCGACTGATCCGCTGGCATGGAAACCGTGAGTACACTCCACGAGTTAGGGTTTTGTAGACAGTTTTTGGGGTTGTTAACGTGCTCGTGCGATTGTTACAGGACAGCGAGAGYGCGGCCGTGGTGGCCCTGGCGACCAGCATACAGGAGCCTGAGCCGAAAYCGGAGACTGACAGTGGWGCGGTGCAGGTCTCCGAGCCCAATGACAAGACCAAATTCAGGCTGACTTTGGAGCCCATCATGATGCTGTTACTTCTGGGATTGAAYGTCAGCAGTGAGTAGTGCTTTGTCATTCGACCCTACCTATATTGTTATAAACAAAAGTTGTGTTTATGGTCAGAATTAAGAGAATTTTGTAGCACATAATATTATGTTGTTTTTACCTTGCACCTAATATATCGCAATGTACTTCCAGCAGTTCTAAATTTATGTTGTTAGCTTAAGTGTCAGAGTGAAATGACTTGCTAACAAATTTAAATGTAAATAGTAAATACATTACCTATCAGTGTTCTCTCGTTTAATTTTTAAGTGAAGTGAAGAGAACATAAACAATGTTTTTAAATTTTAACATTGAAAATTGTTCAATACACTAATAATTGGTATTTAAGCATACAGCACATAATTTAAATTGCTGGACATACATTTTTATGAATTATGGGTTAGTACGACGGARAAAACACAATATGTGATTATGAGTTACTGTAGATAATATTATAGTGAGAGGATTTTAGCACAATTTTAGTTTTTCTCTCAAGCTTAAACAGTAAATAGACAAAATGTATTCTTCATGCAAAATCATTTTTTTTTTAAATTTTAATCTAGTCAAATCGCCAATTGCAAAAATTATAATGAATATTTCTGAAAGATATTGATTTGTCTGAAAATTATCTCGGTGCAATTTAAAATTTATWATTTTATTTTTAAAATCAAATAATAGGTAATTAAATAGAAAACAGATATGTCCCACTCTCAAAATTATTATCCTCTATAATAATTGTAATGTGTAATATACTGATATTTAACTAAGATTACTGAAAAATCATTAAAAAATGTTTACATGAATGTTTGCTTATAGGTATATCTTGTGAGTCTGTGAGAGAAAACAAATATTGTATTGATATCCTCTTAATAAATTGAACATTTATATCGAGTTTTTATTCATCAGCTGTCGATTCTACTAGAAATCCTTTGTCTAACTATAARTCATTTCACATTGTAATGAATAATTAAAATTGAATTGTTATTTCTTAGTACAGCTTAGTGTTTATATAATTTATGCAATAATCCAAAGCTAGGCAAGTTGATGACTTTTAAACTCAGTAAGTCAATATGGATTAGGTAATAAGAAATAGTCAAAAATTGTAAATGAATTTAATTTTTTTGATCAACTGAGTTAAGTTTCAAGTTGAATACACAATTTTTTTTAACTTGTTATTAAGTTAACAAAATTATTTCATTTTCTACTAATTAAAAAGTATTGGAAGGTATAATATTTATACAGCATTTTAATATATTGCTTTATTGAAGGAAAGGATTAACTTTTAAACTTGTTAATGCCCAGCCTCGCAATAACTTAGCAATTTATAATTAATAATTTTATTCATAGAAATATGTTAAATGTATTTATTATGATTTTAGTGATGGTGCAGACTAACCTAATTGAAGAACGTGTATGCCTCCATAGTGATCTCGGGAAAAATAAGTCTGTGAATTGTTACAATATGACTGCAGCAGAACAAGAAATAGTTCAACCAGCTGTGGCAGATTTGCAGATGATTAAAAAYCTAATTGAAACATTGGTTCCTTGTGTAACAGCGTTGTTTTTAGGTCCATGGAGTGATGTAAACGGTCGTTTACCTTTGTTTTTAGCAGCTATCTCAGGTGAGAAATAATTGTAGAAATATTAACCTATATATATATATAATATATTAATATAAATTGTGGTCATTTAAAATTGAAGGTATGGTAGTATCTAACTGTATGTACTGTGTGTTTTCTACAATACCCAGTCTGCCTCCAGTAATGTTTTTGCTGTGCAGTGTACCTGTTGCTGTAAGCGGTGGAGGTGGTGCATTGTTTATAGCTTCATTTTGTTATATTGTTGACATTACTGATTTCAAAACCAGAGCTTTCAGGTAATAAATTTAAAATATTAAATTAAAAAGTTTAAATAATTCAAAATGTGATATATCATTTTATGTTATATTAATATTATAGATTATAATACACAATAGTGCATAACATGATTCAATTGTGATATTTCCATAAAACAATTATATAACTTACTACMAATACATACCACCAAATCACTATTAAATTATAAGATTTTTAAAATTGTTTATCCAATGTGTTAACAATTTAAAACCATATTATTTATATGCAAATACAAACTAGTTTATTGCAATTTAATTTTTTTTTTTTCTATAGATTAGGTGTATTGCAAACATTTATATCTTTTGGCTCAATTATTGGATCATTACTAAGTCCTTTGTTGTACAGTAAATCACCTACTTATGCTTTTGCCTTAAGTTCAATGTTCACAATAGCTGGACTACTATACACATCAYTTTTTCTCAAAGAAACTGTTGTCATAAAAAAAGTATATATCAATAATTTTCAATATTTTCGAAATTAGAAGTAAAAATTAAGCTTAAGTTAAAGAATTAATTGTTTTATAGATTTTGTGCTTGGTAATAAATTTGTGGTTTTGTAATTATTGCATTTTTAATTTGTTCTCGTCTGCAGGGTACAAATACAAAACTTTTCAATTTTAATCTAGTAAAAAGTATGTGGGAAACCGTTGTGAAGAAACGGTTTGGATTTCTGAGATGCATAATAATTCTGTCTGCTGTGGTATTAACTTTTAATTTAGCTATTGTATTAGGCAAGTACTTAATTTATTTGTTTATTTACAATATTTGCAATAAAATATTCCTAATAACATTGTTTAATTTAAATACTATTTAAAACCATATAGTTTAGTATATATACTTATATTAATAATGCATTTTATTTTAGGTGAAGATTCCTTGATGTATTTGTACCTACAAAAACAATTTTCATGGACTTTAGAAAATTATACTTTATTTAACGCTTATGCAACATTATTGAGTGGTTTGTAATTTATTTCAATATTTTTGTGAAATGTTAGACATAAACTAAGCATTTATATATTATTTTAGCTAGTATTCCTGCAATTGGGTTGTACTTCTTGAGTACTAAACTTGAAATACCAGACATGTATCTTGCTACTGCTGCGACAGGACTGCGAATTATAGAAAAAGTTGGTTTAGCATACTCACAATATACTTGGCAATTTTATGTTGTGAAGATTTTTGGTTGTGTGGTATTGACTAGTGAACCACTAGTTCGGTCTCAATTATCCAAGAGTTTTCCCCCTGAAGATTTAGGTAAATTACAACAAATTAAAATAATTAGTAATCCTTAAATTTGTGTTAATTATTWTAATTATAATTTGCAGGAAAAATATACGCTTTCATAAGTGTGATTGAAGGGTTTGGAACATTACTCGGTTCTCCAATATATACCACAGCCTATAATATGACAATCCATAACTTTGCCAATTTTATATTTCTTTTATCATCAATATTTGGCACATTTGTTTTAGGTTTATACATGTAAGTTATTTTCAATTCATATACCTATATTAAAATAAGTAATTTTTATTATTATTTGCATAAAATAATTTTTTATACTTTTGCTCAGATACAATAATAGCTAACAAAGTTCCATTATATTTTTACCGGTTTCTAAATTTTGTTCAAATATATCCTAGCAGTCAAGTCGAACATAAGTTACAAAAAATATTATCCAATTGTWGGTAAAAATAAAACTGTGAATAGTTTTCATATTTAGAAAAATTTTGTTAGATTACTTAGCGAAAGAAAATATTTGATTTATCATTAAATATTCTTAAATAGCARTGATGACTTTTATTAGAGGTCACTGTTCAATTGCTATTTATCTTACAACTGTCTACTACTAATGAGGTTGAAGTTATTGAATCTCTAAAGTTTCTATCAAAGAAGGATTAAATTACACTTACCATACTTCTAGCCTAATTTTTGCTCTTATTAATATTAACTATTTTTTAACCAATTATCTTCTGTTAAACTTAACATAAACATTGTTGAGATTACCAGACCAAGTACTTATTAATTTAAACTTTTATTTTTATTTACATTAGGTCTCTATTATTTATATATTTATTATTATTATTATTTTTTTTTTTTTACTACATTCTACATATTACACAATTAATCAATAATTAGTATATACAGCTAACATTCTATTAATGAAATTATTAATTTTTCAGAATAATATTATTTTTACTCTCAAGAAGTACCAAGACAGAAGATTTATTAATTATAAACTAATTATTGATCACAGCATATTCATATATTTTTATAAATTTAAGGGTACCTATTTTATATTGTATATTCA